AATGGATATTTGACCGTTTAAATGCAGTACGAAAAAGTGATATTCAAAAACAATTACTTGTCAGTGCATTTCGTCATAGTATTCAAAATGAACATGAAATATTATGTTTATCTGATCATATTCAACATATAAGTGAACAATTAAAAAAAATTCTTGAATCAGTTGTTCATGCACCATTAATGATTGTTATTACGGATACAATTATCGATCTTTCGAGAATTTATCCACAAGTATTTCAAGAAATTTTTACCGTATGTGTTTTGCTACGAGAAAAATATTCGTTTAAATTCGTTTCTTTTCTCTTATACTTTGCCTTTTATTTAAAGGATATTGTGGATATTCTTATCGGTTGGTATATTGAACCATTACCAACTGATCGTATTCTTGAATATACAGCTCAAGCATTACATAAATTTCGTCCATTTTGGATTGAACAAATTGAAGCAACATTAACTTTATTAGATCATTTTATTGAAGATGCTGATAATTATGCTCAAGTAAATCAATATAAAAAAGAAACAATGATTGTTCTAGATGAGTAGAAATGATAATTTCTTGCTTTTCTATTTTTCAGCAATTTGAAAATCAGGAACAAAATAATGATGATAATATGGTTTCATTTACCGACAAAATTGCTGCTTTATATAGGTAAATAATGAGAAAAGTGGGTGGCATTCTCTTTTTTTTTTCTTTGTCGAAATATGAATTCAATCATGACCTGCTTCCTGAAAAAAGATCTCTTATTCAAAAGCGTTTAGCAGAAATTTTTTGAAATTACTAAATGAATAAAACCAGAGACTTTTATAGTGAATAATATTATTACTAATTTCCTGAAGGAATGAGAATGACTCGCAAACTTTTTTTAAGTGTGCCATTGTTCATAGCTGGGCAAGTACGAGTACTTCGAGTATTTTGCCTAGCTCTGCCATTATTTGTGATAATCTCTTCATCACGACCTATACAGAAGACCTTGAGTTCGGTCATCTTCTCCAATAATTTAATATTCTTTTAAGACTGTGTTTTACAAATGCCGTTGAACTTTAAATGCGTACTTCCTAGAATATATATATGATACTCTTTCTCTATCTTTTTCCAATATAGCTCTGACTTTCTAGATATAGGATGCGACTAGAGGTGTACGGGACCAATTTTTAGTCACAGTCCCAGGGCCACTAGACAAAAGTTGACTCAACCATAACTAAAGATTATAGTTAAATATTCCTTGGTTGTAAGCGAATTATCCTCTAAATTATCAATTAGGACATAATTCAAGAAAGATGGTCCAAACAAGTGCTAGTCACAGACTAAATAAATCAAAAAACGAGTATTGAAGAACTTTCTTATCTGCAATACGAATAAGTTCTAAAATAGTTTTCTCTAGATCTGGATCGGGACTAAAAAAAAAATTCTGTCCCGTACATCTCTATAGATGCAACTCATACTTATCATTTCGAAGTATAGTAATCATTTTTTCTTGTTAGTATAAAGGAAAATACTAGAATTGAGACGATATTAAAATTCTTTGAATTGAATTTTTAGGATAACAGTCTTTACCTATGTTTAAACACAATGTTATTTTATGTCTTTTGCTATTTAGAGCTTTTGCTACTGTTCTTCGTGCACTTTCCGACAATTTTGCTTCAACACCAGCAATACTCCCAATTGATTATGTTGATAATTGGTTACTAAAAATTTTACATACAACAACTATAATTAAACAGGATAAATTATTTGGTGTTTTAGCTAAACATGCTAACACAGCTGTTTGTATTTTATTAGAAACATTTTCACAATTTGATGAACCAGTTCAAAAAGATATATTTGATTTTATTATACAACAAACACTTCTTAAAACACAAGATTGGCCATATGAAGCAGACGTTAATTTTCTTCGTTTAATTATGAAAGTTATTGATTTAGCTGATCATGATTCATGTGCAATATTAGCTAGTTCAATATTTGCAGTCAATTCACGTATATGGCTATATCGATTTTTATATTCAAATTCGGTAAACTATTAATTTTGATTATTATTTGTACTATCTTTTTCTTTATTTCAATAGCTTATTCAAGATGTTTTACAATTGTTTAATCGTCTTTTAACAATAAAAAGTATTCCGGTTGTTCAACAAGTTTATCAAGCTATTTTAGCTGATATGACATCAAATTTTAATGTACTTTTAAATGTTCTTCAACAGAAACCGATCATTATTGGTAGTGGATCATTATTAACTAGTGATTTAAATGAAGATGATGCAGAAGCAGCACTTATTTTTGATTGTAGTGCTTTATGTCAAATTGGAAATGTAAAAGGAAATTTAATTGGAGTAAGTTATTAAAAAGAATTTACTTTAATGATTTGCCCAAAACTTTCAAGACAACATTTTTTGACTAATGAGAAAACATCCCTTAGTGTCGGATATTGTTGGACCTAATATTATGATTATGAGTAGATCTATGTAAAACTAATAAACAACTAAAAGAATTCGAGCTTATGCTCTAGTCATGAAGAGTTATAACTATTTTACAGGATACTTTTGTCCGCACAAGGCATTTCCACAAATATACAAAATGAAGAGTTTTATCTTGAAATGTTGGTTATGAATAGAGCTAATAATTTTTAGAAAGTTTTCAAAAATAAAAATGCCTTTGTCGAGAGTTTAATTTTGAAAAAACGACAGGTGATGACAGAAGAACACAATCGTCAAATTTGCTTGAGAATCAAATACCTCGAGAATGATGCGTTGATTTTCTTTGAAACTTTCAGAAATTTTTAGTGATTATTAGCTCTATCTATAGAAAATATTGCAGGATAAAATACTTCATTTTGAAATTTCTGGAAATGCCTTGCTATGACAAAAGCATCTAGTAAAACAGTCATAACTCTTTATCAGTAGGTCATAGGCCCGAATCTTTTTAGTTTTTTCTTAGTCTTACATAGATATAGCCTTTGCCATTATATCAGGTTGAACGGCATCCAACAATTAGGGCTGCTCTCTTGTAAATAAAAGGGCTGACAGAATTTTGTGCTCATTTCGAATCTAGTTTAGGAGTTTTAAGCGCATCTCCGCAATGCCCGAAAATAAAATTTCGACGAATTTCAGTGTGCAAAAACATCTAGAGTAGATATGAAATTTCTTCCAAATTAACCAAAAGAAAGAACAAATATTTATCTACAAAATAATATCCTAATCGTCAGTTTTCTGTAAATGGTTTATCAACAATGAGAGTTTTGAGAAGACACACATTGACATTTGTGCAATTCTTTAATCCCCAGACTTGCAAAACAAGATGATTGTTGTAGGAGCCTCGGTCACTNAAATAAAAGGGCTGACAGAATTTTGTGCTCATTTCGAATCTAGTTTAGGAGTTGTAAGCGCATCTCTGCAATGCTCGAAAATAAAATTTCGACGAATTTCAGTGTGCAAAAACATCTAGAGTAGATATGAAATTTCCAAACTAACTAAAAGAAAGAACAAATATTTATCTACAAAATAATATCCTAATCGTCAGTTTTCTGTAAATCGTTTATCAACAATGAGAGTTTTGAGAAGACACACATTGACATTTGTGCAATTCTTTAATTCCCAGACTTGCAAAACAAGATGATTGTTGTAGGAGCCTCGGTCACTTGACGCACTTTGTGAAACATAGTCTTACCCTTTAAGCTGTGCAAAGAATCGCCAATAATAGAACGTATGCGATTAGAAACATCATTGCTAATCGGGACGTCTATTGTTTAGGCGCTAACGCAAAAAATTTTCAAAACATGAAACAGTCAAAGAAAAAGTGTGACTTAGAAATATCGGCGTCTTTACGAAAGAAATACGAAAGTGTCGAGAAAATGCCTTGAAAAATCCCAAAGAATCAATGTCACACGCGATACGTTCACTTCATTTTTATACTATTCAAAGATTCTCGCATAACTTCTAGCCTATTAGCTCTACAGAAATTATAAGCCTAGACTAGAAAAGAGCAACCAAGTTCACTGTTTTAAAACTTCGTCTCTGTTAACCGGTCAAAAAATGAAGGAATATTTTGTATTAAAACTTTCGAATAATTCGTTATTAAATAATAATTTGTTGAATTTAGATGTATGCACTTTCACCACCACTTTTTGAATTACTTGCTAAACATCTTCAATTAACAAATTCAAAATTAGCTCGACAATATCCAGCTGTTCATTATGGTGTACTTAAAACTCTTTATTCACATTGTGCAGCGTTAGTAATCAGTTTTAAATGATTGATTGCTTTTTTTGTAAGATGAATTTTGATGATTATTTTAGACACGAACATTTTATTCATAATTCAGATTTATTTAAACAAAATGATACAAATAATGTGATGAGTTTAACAAGTTTAACAAAAGATAATTTTGAAGATTTACTTAAACTTCATCATCGTCTTATTGTTAATAGTCATCTTAGTTGTCATGACACAAAGTAAAAGAATTATTCAAAAAAATAAACATTAAAGAATGTTTTTTTTTCTCTTTATCATGTAGAAAATTAGTATTAAATTGGCTTGCTGAAATTATTGATGCACTACCACAAGAAGATAATGGATTACTTGCTTTACCACTTTTACTCAAAGTTTCTCATGCTATTATTGATATAGGTAAAAAGAAAAAAAAATTACTGTGCAATTATGTCAGATAGAAATGTCGTATACAACTTTTCTATATATTTCAATATTGACTAATTATCATTTACGAATTATGATAAAGGATAAAAACGTTCTAGAATAATTTAAATGATTTCTATGATACTGTTTCCTTTACTTTTCGTATTCCTAGGCTGACTTCACATTAACATAAAACCATACTAGTTAAATTTTATTCGAATAAATAAATGTATTACACAGTATACTGCGATTTTTGTACAAAAAAACAGTCATTAGATATCGAGGTGAATTATGTGCGACTGGTTTCGTTCGGAAAACGGTAGAAACTCGAAAAAGTAGAAATCTAATGGTCAGATTTTTCTATGTGCCGGTAGAGTCGACCAGCGGATTCCTACTTCGAACTTTTTACCATTTTTCTGAGTTTTCTGACGGAATCCTGCTGGAAATTCACGGATCCGGACGCTGTAGTTACTGACCTGAGTAAATTCTAGAATTTGAAGGTGCATCGTATTTGATATTTTCTCTTTGTAAAAGTAGAATCATAAGAGTCACTTTTGAAAGCATCCGTTTATTTTCCTAATCATACAATAAAGATAGCAATACATTTTATCGTGGATGCTAAAAAACTTTTACTGAAAATACTGCGAAGAAGCAACTTTCATATATATTCCTATAATAAAATGAATCAATTCTAAATAATTGTTTAGCTTACTCGGATGAAGAAGAAATCTGTAATTTATGTTGTCGGTTGTTAAATAAAATTGTTAAAAGACAACGTGATCTTGATGTATCATTCTTAGTCCGGTAAGATAAATCTGTAGGGAAAGTCATTTTTTCAATGCAAAATAATCTTTTTTTTTTCAGTCTATTTGATTTATGTCGATTTTGGTTACAATCTAATGAAACATCAATTCATGATAGTTATTATGCTATTTTGTGTTGTTTACCTATTAATATTTTAACTAGGTTAGTAAGAATTCAAATTAATGAATGTATTAATTAATATTTCTTTAGTAAATTTCCAACACATGGCACATTATTATCATCAAAAAATGATTATTCTGGTTTTGCTAGTATTGTTAAACGAAATCATATGAATACTCCATACTTAGGAACATTTACAACACATTGTTTTAACTTAATATTAGGTTATATACTTGTTAATCATCAAATGCCGTATGTTCGATTTTTCATTTGTTTTTTTAATATTTAAAACCTTATTTTTTTCATTAGACGAATGTATGCAACTACATGGCTTGAACGTTTATTTCAATCATGTCAACGCAAAAGTAATAATGGATCTTCAAAAGAAGAACATTTATTTGACGATCAACATCGTTTATTAAGTTATGAACAATTACCAAATTTTGGAAATGATGCATTGGTTTGATTTATTGAATATTAATATGTATATATATGAAAAAATTCTTTGTATTTTTCCTTCAATCTTAGATATGGTTTTGGGCTATATGGGAATGTGCACAATTTTGTGTTATGAATAAATTGAAAACACCACTTGGAAAACCACAAGAAACATTTTTAGCACTCGAAGGTGAGTTAATTATTAGTCTTTAACTTATTCGAGTTAATACTACTCGGATAAAGTGTATACTGTTATATATAACAGATTCAAATAGAAGCACTATTTTTTCAGATTTACTCTAACGATTGAACTGAGATTATGAGAATTATTAAATTTTAAAATAGGAGTTTGACCAAAGGCATAAATTTTGCAAAAGATTTTGTATATATTTCACAAATTTTCCCGCAACTTCTAGTAATATTGGCATAAGGTAAGGATGCAACGGTAATGGCGCAAGGTCTTACGTAGAGTTTTGCACTGGTCTAAACATATACGTATAAACTAACGGTGAATGCGGGAATGGCCCAGGTCGGCATGACGCCCCTTCGAATCTAAAAAACTTTCGTTATGTTTTATTAACTATTTTCATAATAAGAATTGATCCCTTCCTCTCAACGTCGGAAACCTTAAACTCTCAGGAGTCGTTCCCCTTCAAGCTAGGTGATCTCGGGGTATCTCTGCGTGAATGCATGATAAAATCAGGGTGATCTTGGATTGATATCGATTTTGCTGGTCGGAGAGGCCATTCCAAAAAAGTAGATGAGTTTGATCAAATTCAGCCATTTTCCTGAAATAGACTTTCCTCAACGTCGAAAGAAACCTAAGATCACTGTAGTCTTATTATGTGTTTATTGTCTTCACTGTCATTCTATGTATACATGTATAGACCAATGCAACACTCTACCTAAGATCGGTGCATCAGTAATCATCATCACCGTTACATCCATATATTAGAGATATATGTACATCGAATAATTCAACTTTTTTGAAATACTTAAGACATGCATCTCAATTAAGGATAAAATTTGTGCCGATTAGTTCTTTTTTTCTTCTGCTTCTACCAGTCATTAATCCAAATATCTTTGTTTACTGGATCCTATAGAGTTCATATGTTAATATATTATTAAGAAGAGAACTTGTGTGGAAAGTCCTGTTTAGTTCTATCGCTAATTTTATGATTTGTCGCTTATGATCAATCGAGGTACGTAGTTATAGTTGCTTCTTTCAAATTGAAAGCATTAGAAAAAGAACAAATTCTCATTTCATGTTTATGAAAATTTAATAACATAATAAGAAAATTCGTTAAAAATTTCGAATGCATTTATAGGATCGCAATTATATCGAATAACATCATTTTGAATTTTTTTAATTATTAATTTAAATATCAAACGCGCTTACAATGTTTTCTAAAGTATATTTTTGATTGATACCTATTTGGGTGATGTCATAAGGTAATCCGTTAAGTCCACTATGATTAACACAACGAAAATATCGTTCTTATTGAACTTTCAAAATAAACACAAACATAAATAAAAATAAACAATTTTGTTATTTAGAAACTTTACGATTTTTTGCTTGGCCAATTGATAATAATACGAAAAAAGTAGAATCATCTTCATCAGAGCAAACAAATCGTTCTTCAACACCATCATCAACAATAAATCCTCCATTAACATCATCATCATCAGGTGAAATAAATATTTCAACAGATAAAGGTGATTGGTGGTGTGATTTACATCGTTGTGGTCTTTTATTACAATTAATTGAAGCACTTGAAAAATGTATGTACAATGCATATGAAGGAGCAGCTCTTTCACTTCCACAATTACCGAAAGTAAATTTTTTGTTTTTCTTTTTTATGTTTTGATTTGAACCACTTGTTTTTTAGACTATTAAATTTTTCTTTATTACCAATAAATCAACATGTTTTGAATGGCTTAATCGTATTCGTATACCAATTATTTTAACAGCTGTACGAAGTGGTCAATATGAATCAGCTGTACGAAACTGTAATCAATATTTAATGCATGTGTGTTCATTAGGTCAAGCTGAGGTAAAATTATTTTAATTAAATAATGAGCGGACTATAATGAATCGGACTAAATGTAAATGTAATTTTCGTCTCATTTAAATTCATACAAAATATTCATTCATATATCAAAACATAGAGAATTTCAAGTTCTACAAAGTTAAAACATTCAATTTTAATAAGAATATTTTGTTTTTGCTTGACAATACAAATATTTCTATATGTAGGATATTCGTGATGCGACACATCATTGCTCATGCTGTGCAAAAGTATGGAGAATCTCAAAAGCAAAGAATTTTATATCAAAAGATAGAGAATGTTGTCCTGTATATATCAGAATATTCAAGCATTACCGGGAAGTTGAAAATATCCTTCATGGTGATTTTTGAGAAGACTTTTTAAACAATGAAGTTCTTTGTTGAGTTAAATCTCCGTTGTGAAGTCAGTACTTAGACATAAAAAAAAAAGAAAAACTTTGTTCTGTATGAGACTGGGTGGTTGGTGAACTGAAATGCGGCATTTTTTTGTCAATATTTATGAAAAACCGAGCAGGTGACAAAATAGATAAAAATTTTGTTTTTGTTCACTTATTGTGTCCATGAAACTATTACGGAAAATTTTGAAAGATAGACGATTTCCTCAATCATATTTTTGTCTTTTTATAAACTCAAGAAATTTCTCAGTAGCAATATTTCACTTTTTTTTTTCGTTTGGTTTTAGTTTCACAGTAAGGAACTACAGTAAACCTTAGTATGTTGATTGCTTCGCAATCGAATCAAACTTTTTTTGTAAAAGTAAAGTACACAATTTTATAAAGCTTGAAGTGCTCGATCTTTCATGAACCATGATCTAAAGGGATTATTGAAGGAAAAATGAGAACTCCCTTCCGTAGACCGTGTAGTCAAACATATATATCTATAACGTCTCGTAATAATATCTGAACTTCATCCTTATTGCACTTGTAAACGATTAAGTAAAAGAATGACGAAGAAATGTATTACAATATAGATATCATAAAACAATCTCTTTATGATTAGCAACAGCAGCTACATCGTAACTCACAGTTGGAATCCGCAGAGGTCGTGCTAACGGCTTTTGATATGTAAATGAATATTTTATATGAATAGAAAATGTTTGTAAACTTGCATTTACAAATATTTGGATTCATTATGGCTCATTCGTTATTATATGTTTTCTTTTTGTTCTATTATAAAGGCATCAGAATTTGAATTTGTAATAATATCATTTGTTCAATCACTGATTAAACTTCATAATAGTATGGCTATTCATGGAATCTATATATGGTTAAAAAATATTCATCAACTTGATTGGTCATGGATAAAAGCATGTGAACATGAAGCTGCTGGAAACCTTGAACAAGCAGCTTACGAATATAAATTATTATTAAATGATCATTTTAAAAGTCTTTCAATGCCAAATGAAACAAAAGATGATAAAATATCAGCTGGACTTGTAAAATTTTTAACACAAAAAGTAAATTGAAATAGATTAAACAAGAAAAGAAAAATAATATTTTTTATTTATTAGGTTTATGATTGTTATTTAAGTCTTCATCAATGGCCTGAATTAATTGCATGGAATGATGCATGTATTAAAATGCAAGTGGCCTTTTTACAAGATGATAATGATGATTTACGTAAAGCTATGGAAACAACTATTGATATAAATGCTATCCGGTAAGGAATGAAATGTTATTTTCCAAAAAAACAAAAATAAAAATTCATTTTTGTTAGAGCAATGAGTTGTTTTGAAAATCGAGATTTTGAAGGTTTAAAAGTAGCTATGAGAAAAATGCCAAATTCACAAGCAACTGGTGAAGAACTTGGCCGAAGTATTTCTTGTGGTTGGGATATGGAAGCGTTTGACATGTTAGCAACTGTTGAAACATTAAAAGGAGTATCAAAACGAAGGTAATACATTAAAAAAAAAAATCATTTAAAAAACAAAATTGTGTTGTTTTTTTCAAAGATCGGGTCTTTGGTCACTTAATGCAGTACTTCAATTAACACAAGATTTAACACGAATTCATAATGTTGATGAACATGCATCATGGTCAGAAGAAAGAGCTGCTATTAGTCAAGTAGCAGCGTTATATCAAAGTGAAGTATGGTCAAATACAAAGTTAAGTTTTATTTTTGTGATGCGTTTTGTTTTTTTTTTAGAATCGTGAAGTTCCTCTTTTACCGGGTCAAAAATTTGCACCTGTTCAACACAGTGTACGAGCATTGAATTCTATTCTTCTATACAGTCAAGCAAGTTTTAATAATCAAAGTAAATATATCATTGTCATTATAACTGTTTTCAGGCATAAGATATCGACAGTATCATTTGATCTTTGGAATAGCAAGACGTTTAAATAATTTTAAAAGAATATTTTTTTTGCCTGATAAGTCGCTTCTGAGTCTGAACTATATGCATAGTGTAGACTCTAATGAGCTATGAATACTAATAACCCGACAGATTTCATGTTCATATTTCAGGATAGAAGCAAATCAACGGGCCGAAAACTTTTATCATTGACTATTTTCATTAAGACGTATCTCTATGCAAAGGCTCAAGTCGAAATTCTAAAATCAATTTTCCTGAGTGGAGGGGCGGGGGGGGGGGGGGGCCAACCATTGCTTTCACTTAAAAAATCCCCTAAACGTGCCGCCTCCCAGCGACAGCCAGCCAATAAACCCAAAAATTTATAGGGCATTTATAAATCAAAAGAACCCATCTGAAG